ATGAGAATAAGAACAGAAATGCAGCGATACACAAAGGCGGGTTAGCGGTCCAGCTGTCACTCCCTGTGCACGTTAGCTCAGCGTACTTCTGCAGGAGCCATGCAGGGGCCTTGACAACCATGTGACCAACATTCCCCTATGGCAGCAGTTAAGCAGCAGCCATTTTGATATTGATGGCCAGTATGATGCTGGAGAGGCATCGTTATGGCGACGACAGCCAGGCGATGACCTTGTGATGACAGTAAGAGATGATGACTGGCGGCCACTCTGCCCACAGGGCTTCTAACCATCGGCATTGCAGCGTTTGCCCTGGTCCTGCTGGCCTGGACCATCCTGCTCCTGATACTTCTGTACCTCTACGTGGGACGGGCTAAAGCGAGCAAGGCCCTGACGCAGATGGACAGACAAGCGCCCCCTGGAGGTGAGTGACACAAAGTGCAGCATCGCATTACGGTTACCTCGAGGTTGCTGAGAGGAGGCTGAGCAGGAGCTCGTTAGTAACGGCTCCTTCTTTCTGTCCCGTTTTAGGTCTGCCGGAGTCTCTGACCTGCATACAGTAAGTAGTAGGACACACAGATAGCAGATGCAGCTTGTGTGTGTGTGTATGTCTGTCTGTCTGTGTGTGTGGGTGTGTCTGTGTGTGTCTGTGTGTGTGTGCCTGAGTGGGTATACCTTACCTTACGTGATGAATACCCGTTTTTCTCCCTTATGGGGACCAGTTTCCTCAATTTAATAAAAATCTGTGACTGCAATGAAAAACTACAAATGCATAAACTCTTGTATTTTGCTTGGTTACTTATGGTTATGGTTAGGGCTGGGTGCGGGTTAAGGTTGTTATAGTTACTTATGGTTATGGTTAGGGCTGGGTAGGGGTTAAGGTTGTTATGGTTAGCGTTAGCATTTCTAGCATAGAAATGAATGAGCGGTCCCTATAAAGATATGTCTACCCGACGTGTGTGTATGTGTAAGTGCGCCCTGCTGGGTCCATGTGTGATGAGTGTATGTGAGGTCACTGCACCACGCTGTACCTGCCCATAACCCCACAGTGTTGCTGTACCTAAATCCTGCCTCTCTGCCTATCAGGACAGTGCAAGGGCCGATGGCAGGAGGAGACATTTACATAAACTGCAAAGAACTGGCGGAGACCTACTGTGACCTGAACCCCTCCAGGATGGAGAAGGAGAACTTCTACGGCAAACTGACCTGAGAGTCACGGCTGACGGCCCCCCGGATCTGGCACAGCGCCGCTGCCGAAGCAGCCAAGCCGTGTTACTGCAGAGCTGGAAGCCAAAGCGCTTTGCTCCGTCCCTCCCTGCTGGCC